GACTCACAAGTATTTACATTTTGTCACCTTTACAAATTTTGTTATAATTACATTTCAGGCTGGGATTTTTGAGTTCAATCCACAGGTTGGGTATGTGAAAACACTCTCAGAAAATAATATTAATGTGTTCATCTGAAATATAGTTCTCGTATAATAACATTGCTCTCATTGTTGCTCTTGGTATATGACATATGGTATGGTACAAAGCTTCGTCAGATCCTTTAACCTCTCTTGTGTTGGTGTATATGTTGTCTATACAAGCAAAATAGTCCTTTGGAGAGAGTTCTTGTCTTTTGGTGTAAAGTCCCCTGCCCTTACCAAGCTTGTCTCCAAATAAAGTATTACTTTAGTAACATTCATTTTTTTTCGCAAGTAGGTCATATTTGACTTTGATATATTCTGCAAGAAGGCTTCATAGGAAAATAACATCTAATCCACCAATATAAGTCTCAGAGTGGAACAAAGTCAGCACAGTTTGCCATGACAAACAAAGGACCTTAACCCCCAATGCCTTAGCAGACCATGTCCTAGAGTTCTGAAAAGGATCTTTTAGTGCACAGCACAAAGCTATACCCTGGTGGTGGAGTGCCCATGGGGCAGGTTGGTACTGTTCTGACTACCTCCAAACGTGTTGAAATTGTGCAGGGGCTGCATTCCGGCCAGAGAGTGAGGAATCATTGTTATGGTACTTGGCGTCATGAGTGGGATGTCATCAGGCGAACGTCGTAGAGTAAGTGTGTAATCGGCTGGGCAGGTAAGACGAAGCGTATCGTGACCTGGCAGAGCATCACACTCATGATGGTGCTCGTGTTCCATCTGCTGCTGTTTCATCTGGAGCGACATCACCTCCTCGCTCTGCAAATGTGCTATGTCATTGGCGTTAGCCACTGCATTAGCTGGTGCAGAGTTCCGCTGTGGGCTGGGCCCACGTCGGTTGGATTCGTGACGGCGCTTATCCTTCTTGTAGTAAAGTGCTGCAAAGGCCAGAATGTTGAGGAAAAGGAGAGAAGCACCCACCGCAATGGTCACGCTGAGTTCGGTGGAGTAATCTCGCTTTGTCTCGATAACCACCGCTGAGTCATCGCCCATATCATTGCCTTTACGCTGGTCTGTAGTTTGTTTGGTGTTGGCGGGAGGAACACCAGGATGACGTGTCGTGGACGGCCATGTTTTACCCAGTCTCTTAGTGTACGGGAATGGCGTAGTATCCTGAGGAGGTATCTTAGTAGTGGTCGAGACGTATTGAAAGAGTTCATTGATGTTATGAAGATGA